ATCATCTTATTCCTAGACCTGAAATTTATATTTGTACAATACTATATTTACCAGTTTTAAATCGATTAAACATAAATAGAAATACTATTTGGATGGCAAAATAATCTTTTATCACTTAAAATTTTATTCTACAACTAACATTTTTATCGCTAATGATGAAGATTATAGCATTCACTTTTCTAAGAAGAAATTCAATGTTTTATAGAATCGAATAAGAGTTAAAAGAAGGAAAGAAAAAAAGAAAAAAAAAAAAAAAAATTTACCAATAGTCCTTCGAACGGACTATTTCAATCATACCACTTCAGATCTATTCTACCTATTTCTGGATCTCTTGTTGCTGTTCTTTTTCGCACTATTCCCAGATTTATTTTTCGACGAATCTTTCCCCGTGTTCTCCTTTAAAGAGACATGCTCGAGACTGCCGTTGCTCGCATGCCCGTTCGCAAATTGTCCAGCGATTTCGGAGGAAGAGACAATAGATCCGTTCTGGCTGTACTGGCCAATTACAGAGTGATTTTTTCCTGTTGGCTCCTTATTACCGTTGCTGCTACCGCTATTGGCTGTCGTTCCGTGAGAATTAACAAGGCTGCAATTGTCTTCGCTACCGCTGTTGCCGATCTGCGACTCCGATTCACTGTACCGGTCAACTGGAATCAAGTTTTAGAATGGGAAAACCGCGATCCTACGATCGGTACGTGAATATATGAAATAGCTTGACCGATCGATCGAAGAATTGATCAGTCGATTACTCGATCGACAATTTGTACGGTTACAATGCGATCAATTGACCGATTACTCGTTGAGAGATTAATCGGTCAAGAATTACTTAACCGCTTATCGTTTAATAAAAATGTGGCCTTCTTTGATCGATTAAAAAGTCTCGATTATCAAAGCAATAATAGAAAAAGTATTCATTTTCCGATAAATAATTCGATTCAGATGTGTCAAATAATAAAAATTAAAATTTCGAACTGTTTAATCGATCAAAATTTTTTTTTTTTGTATTCTTCAACATTTTTCTATGACGTATAGAAAGAAACTATCACCTAGAAGCAAATATAGCAAATATACATATATATGAAAGTGTATTATCGAGGCAATTTTCTTTTGAAATTAAAATAGAACAATGCAATGTAATTTTAAATATGAATAATTGTTACTTTACCACACTTTGATTGATTTAATAAATATTACCGAAAGTATTTGTTTTTAAATACAATTATTTTAGATTGAAAGTATAAAATAAAATATTTTTTATACCTACATTAATATAAAAAATACAATTAAAATTTATTATTAAAATTTAGATACAGATGGTAAGCTAATATTGTAGTACACTTTCAGTATGTTCATTAAAAGCAAATCACAAGTTTTCTAATAACAAATATGTAGAGAAAAGTAATATAGCAGATAGAATCGTTAAATCAAAGAATAGCTTTTTATAGAATTTCAAAAGAGAATAAAATGTTGAATTTATTTATCATTAAATACAGAAAAAAGATGAATGCAGAAGAAAACAGAAAGAAAAAAATCAATGAAAAATATAAGAATGTTATGCGAAAAGTTATCTATTTTCAAAATAGATTGAAAAATAATTAAAATTTATTTATAACAATTAAATACAGAAAAGAAATTATATTAAAATTCGAAATAATAATAGATATCCTTCGAGTTTTTTTTTTTAATTCAATCAATTGTGTTTCATAACAATCCACATTTATTATGCTCTTTTTTTACTTTCTTTTTAAAAACAATCTAATTGATACATTAAAAAGAAAAAGAAATACATTAAAGGATAACTTAAAAATTAAAAAGAATTATTGTCGAGGAAAGGATAAAAAGAAAAGTTGGAAGGGATAATAGGATGAAAAATAAATTGTTTTCTTTTTTTCTTTAAAGAATTAGCTATCTCAGGAATATCCATTGAGGTCCTTACTTTTTTCCTGGGTGTTTTCCACAAGTCCACTAACTGCCTGTAAAAATTTAATATTTCTAATTTATTGAAATTATATCATTTTAAAAATATTTTTGAATATTCAATTTATATTTTTTCTCTCTATAATCTATAAAAATGTAAAATAGTAAAAAATAATTATATATATAAAAGATAACATTTATATTCTAGTAATTATAATAATTTATATATACAAATGTATATTTTTATTGAAACGTTATAATTTTAAATTAATATTCTTAGAAATTTAATATAAATTTAATTCTGTTTATTTTATAAAATGAAATATTGATTACTAACAGCCATAGAGGTGATAGAAGATTTTGAGAATAGCCTTTCAGCTTCTTTGAATTTCCTATTTCGTTTATCTGCTTTACTGTTAGCATTTTTATTGCTGGCTAAATATCTGTCCCAACCACGTATTATATTACCATATAGTTGTGTATCTTCCAAATAACTACCTTCAAATGCATAGATTTGACGTTCTAAATTGGCAAGAGTATCCTGTAAAATTATAAAATAATGAACAATCAAAAGATTGGACCACACATAACCTCTAAACGCCTAAAATAACCTAATGTAGTTTTCAGAAAATTTTTTAAGATGAATATTGAATGATAAATAAAATTCTTTTTCATAATAAATCCAATGATATCGTTTGTTTTAAATAAATACATTTTGTAAAAAGATAGAAATAAATTTAAAAGAAAAAGTATAGTGTGTATTTGACAATTCTTTTGATACTTACAGCTATTTCTGCTTTTCGTTTCACTAATTCAGCAAGTTCAGCTCGCAAATCGACAGAGGATTTCGTCGACATTATGCATTTAAATTTATTGATACAACAACAATAGTTCGAACTCTTTTGCTTAAAATACGTCTTTCTATATTCAACAAATACATAACAACTCTATTTTTTTGATGAAAACTGTCTCGACTAACTTGAAGTTATCGCAATCTGAATACAGATTCAAAATATTAATGATATAAAAGCGGGTACATTTAAATACGATGAATCAAATACAATTTTTCTAACAAAATTCTTTTAAAAATTTAATAATTAATTAGAGACAAAATAAGACAACAACCATAAATATAAATTCTTTTTTATTCAATCATTTCTTTTCTATTAATATGTTAAAATGTTATAAAATTTTATGAAATATATAATATATAAAAAAAAACTTACTTTTTTTCCATTTTTTCTAAAAATACTATACTACTATCTACACTAAGATATTTATTTACTAATACATATCAATTCGTAATATATTATAAAATTATATATATTATAATTACACAATTTGTTGAATATTAATATTGCTATAGTATCCATGCATCTATTGTACATTTTCATAAAAAAAGAAGAAAGAAAATCTTTAAAATCGCCCTAATATAAAATATAAGACATACATTATAAATAACTATATACAAACCAATTTATAAAAACAATCACAAAAGAAAATTATAATTGTTATAATTTGCCTTGAATTACAATACAAATTACAATAACAAATCATGAAATATCAATATTTCTCGGTATTCTGAATAGAAAAAAAAAAATCAAACTTATAGCATAGCTCTAAGAAAATACATAAGATCATTCTGCTACTTGTTACAAACAATTCGAAAGGTTGAACTGAATCACGAAACGAGAAATTTAGCTGTCCTCGAGTTTTTCCAATGTTCTGAGTTTTTCCTATGTTCAAGGTCGTATTTGCAGAGGAAGTAGAGAAGAAAAAAACAAGAAGGACAGAGAATGAGGGAGGGAGAGTATGCGATTCCTCCCCTCCTGCAAACGATCTACGCCTCCTTGGCGCTTGCCGATCATATATGAAAGAACACGTGTCACCAGATTCTCTCAGTGGTACCTCGAAGAGATCCATCCACGTGGATCATTATCATTTAATCGTGATATCTCTAAAGAGATTTTTATAAAAGAATTTCAGTGTTTTGTTTAACATTAACTTTGAATGATATTTGACTTTGTATCGAGTTTAGATATATTTAGATAATAATAAATATCCTTTGAAGAAAGAATTGATAGTGGTTGAAGAAGAATGAATCATGAGAATAAGGTTGAGAACTTCAATACAGGCATTAATTACGTGAGTATTTTTATTTTTTTCATTAAATTAATTGGCAGTTGTGAGATAATTTGATTTTTCAATTTGATTTAAAATTGAATATATACGAATATATTTAAGTTCGATTTTTAATTATCGATTTTAATAATCAAAAACAATGTGGAATTTTTACAAAATTTTTACTTATCATAGAAAATTAAAATTATTAATAGTAAAATTATTTCTTTAAAACTGCAAATATTAATTTTTAATATTATTATATATTATATCGAAGAAGGGAAAATTTTATTTTCAATAAAATATTTTTACGAAAAGATATTATCGTAACATATTCTCTAGTTTTAACTGGTCAACCAATGGCCAACTTTCGACAAGTTTTTTCTGATACTACTTTGCAAAAATCTATTCATTGCACCATTGTGAAACTAGATCGCAGATTATCTTTCATTATGCATTCTCTTTTTCTTTTTTCACCTGCAAAGAAATCGAAATAGAAGTCACGAAATCCTGTGCAAAGTAATATAGTTGTATTTTACATCTTAAACGTTTTTCAATATTCTTCGCGTGAACGAGATGATAAATTTTATTTGCATTGTAAAATTTACACATATGCATATCCCATATTTTTTTATAAGTAAAGAATTAAAAGTTAAGAAATTTGAATGATAGTAAATTCAGTTTTTAATTTACACTGGCATATATGTAGGTAATGGCTGGGCTAACAAATTAGTTGATTAACATAAATTAAATAATTTAATGTAATTTAATTTAAATATCTAATGTTTAAGTTAATTTATTTAAATTTAAAATTGCAATATGTTAATGATTCTTTAACAAATCTTTAATGATATTACATAATTGTTAGTTGATGATATAAAAAATTGGAAAAAAATTATCAGTTAATGGTTATTTAATGATAATTTCATCACATTATTATGTTTGGTTCCGTATTATTACCTCCTCTTATATAATTACTCTTTGTTATGAATTAAGATCTTTATTTAAAGCATCATCTCGAGAAAATAATATAGATGAAATATAAATCTCGTATTTAATATTACAAAATTTAAATTATATTGATTGAAGTAAATTATATTGAGTGAGATTAGAATGAACAAGGATTAAACAGTCATATTAATTATATTAATTAAACTATCTATTTCTGTACACCTACATTATGAAACTTGAAATTATGAAATATGTAATATATAACTTTTGAAACACGAGATATATTGTTATATTACATTTATTTACGTTATCCATCCATAATATATCAATGTTAAGATAATTAAACTAAAATATTATTGTAATCTATTTTTGTCATTCCTCTGTATAGATATCTTTAATTTGAGATAAATGAAAAATCACGTATTGCATGTTCATTATTTACTAAATATTTTTTATTTCTCACCAAACTAAACTAATAAACTATTATCAATGGTTATTTAGATATTGTATCTACATCAGTGTTGATTGAACTTTATCATGATAACCATAAATCGCGAATAAATCGATAATATTTGTTTAAGAAAATAAATTCATTGTAATTAAATATTGAGACTGTAGTTAGGACATACAATATTTTCAATTATTCATTCTAAATTACTATAACAATTGTGATTAAATATATATATATTATTCAATATTTTTTCTTATATTGAACATTAAAATTAAAATATAAAATTATTTGATGATACAGAAAATTGAAGGAGAAAAAGAATTGGGAACCAGAAGAGTGTTTAACAATAAATATTTAACTTTGTTTTAGTTATTATTCAAAACACGAGCGCACGAATGTGTTGTGCAAAGATACATCAAAAAAGATATATACGAGAAAGATATGATATGATAAGGTTTCACTTTAACGACGTTTCGTTTAACGATTCTCAGTTTCTTCAGATATTCGAAGCATCGTGTCGTGAGAAATTCTTCGCCTCCCACTATTGAACCGAGCTTACTTTCCTTTTTACTTTCTCTGTTGACGGAACTTAAACCTCGCACAGTCCATCCCGAACTTCCTATGCGTCTAGACACTTCCTTTCTCGGTGTCTCCCTCGAAGAAAAAAATTCCAAACAATGCTGTTGCCTGCATTTTAAATCGTTACAGTGATTACTTTCTCCCTCGTTTGATATTGAGAATTGAAAAAAAAAAAAAAGTCGTCGAACAAAATGAACAATTAAAAGATAATTTTATTTTGTTATTAAAAATTCGCGAAAGTCTTGGACAATCGGTAATTGAGTATTGCATAATGGGGATATACACAAAGCCCTTGTTGGAGAATCAAAATACGCAGAGGAAAAGTAATCAGGTAAAAAAATTTATTTTCATCTGGTTCGTCGTCTTATATTTAATTATTTAAATTTATTCAGAAATCGTTCACAATTAATTTTTAATTCCAATTTTCTATTGGTGTCCAACAACTGTTCTAAACGTGGTTCACGATTCATTTCGTATCGTATTTTGTTCAAATATTTCCAGATACTCGCGACGAATGTAATCCAACAGATGCATCACGTGTCGAGGGAGAGACGAGGTGAGACGTACGGGAAATTCAAAGAATTTCGCGGGTGTACCATTTGGCTGACAGGATTGTCCGGTGCTGGAAAGACTTCCATATCGTTTCGACTCGAAAATTACCTCGTCTCCCAAGTAAATTTTCCGACAACTTTCAAACAAGTTACACAATCGAACGAGATTGTTCTCACATTGATCCCTTCTTTTTACAAATTTTATTCTCCCAGGGTATACCGGCCTACAGCATCGACGGCGACAACGTCCGCCATGGGTTAAACCGGAACCTCGGCTTCACCAAGGAAGATCGGGAGGAAAACGTGCGAAGGGCGGCCGAAGTGGCAAAATTATTTTCCGATTGCGGCATAATCACTATCTGCAGCTTCGTCTCGCCATTCGAGGCGGACAGAAGATCGGCAAGGAGGATCCACGAGGACTTCAACTTGAGATTCTTCGAGATCTTCGTGCAAGCATCGATGCAGACTTGCGAGGCGAGGGACGTGAAAGGTCTTTACGAGAAAGCGAGGAAAGGGATGATCAAAAGCTTCACGGGTATTGGGCAGGATTACGAGGTACCCAAGCATGCGGATCTCGTCCTGAACACGGAGATTCACGATTTGGAAACGTCCACGAGGCTGGTGATCGAGTTCCTGAGGAAGAAGGGTGTACTTCCGCCGACTCGAGAGAAAGTCGAGGAATTATTTGTGGAGGAGAAGAGGATAGGAGAGGCGAGGAGGGAGGCGGAGAGTCTTCCTAGTGCGTTCTTTTTTTTAATTTTCAATCAGAGGGGATTAAATAGGATGTTACCAATAATTTTCTCTCCTCTCGTGAATTTTCATGAAATTTATTTTAACTAGTCCTTTTCACACGTAATCTTTCAACAAATTTGTGACTGATTTAAGGCATTGAAATCACTAATGTCGATTTGCAATGGATCCAAGTGTTAGCCGAGGGATGGGCAACCCCGCTTAGAGGTTTTATGAGAGAGGATCAATATTTGCAGGTGATTTGTTTATCTCGGTTTTTAATTGAATCCAAAAGAATAAAGTTTCGCGGAGATAGAAGTTTAAAATTGTTATAGAAAATAGCACGTAAAATTCCCTTCTTTTTTAACAGTGTCAACATTTCAAGATCATCGAAGAAAATGGGGACAGTATTAATCAATCTGTACCCATTGTACTTCCTGTTAACACGAGTGAAAAAGAGAGATACATCAACGCACCGGCACTCGCTTTGAAATACCAAGGCCGAGCTGTAGCGATTTTGAGGAGACCAGAATTCTTTGCGCATCGAAAGGAGGAAAGGTTTGGAAATGGATACACGCGTTTCTTTCCATTTTCTTTTTTGTAACAATTTAAAATTTTGACAAATTCACAGATGCTGCAGAGAATTCGGAACAAACGATCCAGGCCATCCTTACGTAAAAATGATCCACGAATCAGGAGATTGGCTGGTTGGAGGGGAATTGGAGGTTTTGGAAAGGATTAGATGGAACGACGGCCTTGACGAGTTCAGACTCACCCCTAACGAGATTAGGGAAAAGTGCAGAGAGCTGGGCGCAGACGCTGTTTTCGCATTTCAGTTGAGAAATCCGATACACAATGGCCATGCACTTTTAATGCAGGTTCGTGAGTGAGTCGCTATTATAAATTAATACTAAAGTGAAATTTAGAAAGCGTAATTATAATTTAAAATGAACATCAACAGGATACAAGGAGATATCTCGTTGAAGAGCGCGGTTTCAAAAAACCAGTTCTTTTATTACATCCTCTGGGAGGATGGACAAAAGAGGACGACGTACCACTACCAGTAAGAATAAATCAACACCAAAGTGTTCTCGAAGAAGGCGTGTTACACGAAGACACCATTCTCGCCATTTTTCCAAGTCCAATGCTTTATGCTGGACCCACAGAGGTATTATCAATATTTGTTGTAGAGAATTGAAACATTTAAAATAACTTGGATAACGATATTTTAAAGAATCAGTTTTCAACATTCATTACTTTTTATATTATAAAGTATTTTTTCTTTGTGCAGTAATTAAATATGATAATGGAGAAAGAATCGATAAACGAATTATAATTATTAATATTTCAATAGTTTAATTATTGCATAGGTGCAATGGCACGCAAAAGCAAGAATGATGGCGGGCGCAAATTTTTACATAGTTGGCCGTGATCCTGCGGGTTTGCCACATCCAGACAAATCTAAAACTCCGGATGGTAATATTTTAAAAGAAGTATTTTAAATCAGAGACGTTATATAAATTTATTCAAAATGTAGGAAATCTATACGACGGAACGCACGGCTCCAGAGTACTGTCGATCGCACCAGGTCTTCAGAATCTCGAAATAATTCCATTCAGAGTAGCAGCTTATGACAATAGAATAAGAAAAATGGCGTTCTATCAGCCTGAAAGATCTCAAGATTTTAGTTTTATATCAGGAACTAAAATGCGAAGTGAGATTTTTATCTATATCTATTATTATCATATTTTATAGTATTGTATTTGAACTTGTTAATAAATTATTTGATAATTTCAGATCTAGCAAAATCTGGTGAAAATCCGCCAGAAGGATTCATGGCGCCAAAAGCGTGGCAAATTATTGCAAATTATTATAAGAAACAACTAAATAAAGAAGCGTAATTAATTTCTGATAGATATTATGTATAAAGAATTACTTTATATTAATCATATAAATATTGTATAATATAATATATATGTTTAAATTTAATTAAAAATAATAAATAAAAATACTTCTGTATACCAAGTGATTTATTTTTGCTTTATTTATATCAAACCAATATATTTATAATTTTTTAAAAGAATAATAAACGTTTTAATCATAATCCAAATTGGATATTACAGCGTTTCAATGACATCAAAGAAAAATGTCAATTTCTTTGATTCCAATCTAATTTCTAATTGTAAATGCCTTCATGTAAAAATGCTATTCTAAACGGAAAGATTAATTGTTCAAGTGCTTCGAATCACACATCGTAGCAAGGCTGACATAACATACCAAGAAGTGTTCTAATATTTATTTGATCATCTTAAAAACTTTTTTAATGTGTACATTGGACTTCAACGAAGTGAAGAAACTTTTTAAGAACTCTTATAAAATTTTAGATCTCGAATATTTGCCTCGCACCGTTATTTCCACTTTATCCAGTCATACCGGATTATTATCCGTTATGCGTTCCCTCTCTTCGAGTCTGAAAGTGGGAGTAACTACGACTCTCCTATACACGTATTCACCAACCACTTCCAAACAGGAGTGGTATACCTGTACCAATCCTCTCTCCTTCATGGAAATGCTCCTTGCCCTTATACCAGGCGTGCCAAGCCGTAATCATCGCTTGTCAAAACTGTCCATTAACGCATCAGATCGATGGCATCATAACTCGACTAAGGAACAGGGAATAATCCGGACCGAGGAGTTCGAGCAATTTCCACACAGGGGTCTCCACCGTCCAAATCGTCGTAAGAATCGAAAACGGTAGGAGGCCAAGCCAGATGGAGGAAGGGTCGAGTTCCGATCGTTCTAATAATCTGAAGGGCTATCGGCAGTCTATTGGTTTGATCCCTTGATCCCAGGCTAGCAGAAGGAGGCTGGTGGTCGTGCGAAATTCCTTGTGGCTTTCTACCGTGGTATAACGTGGGATCTGGCCACGCAACGGCCACGAGTTAGTCACGACACGTCGTGATGCCTCGTTTTGGGAAGCGTGGCACGCGATTCGTCGATTAGCCGACGCAGTGGAAATGCAGAGTGGTTCGCGTTTCCTCGTTTCCACGCTCGGTTTGCTTGGAATGGAACGGACAACTCCGCGAATAGGAATAATTTAATCCAGTGCCCGAGGGAAAGGGTTGAATAAAATATATTCACATTTTCGAAGTAGGCGAGTATGATGTGAAAGAAGGTGTGTTTCCGTTGTGCTCGCGTGGAAAGATCGGACGTGACACATTGCCCTTAGGGATTTATGTTGCTCTGGTGGCTCGTCACGTTGTTCGGAAACTGTCGGTTTCGCGGCCGATTCGGAACGGAGAACGACGGATAGAGAGGTTAGGAAAACGGGGGATTGGACGGGAGAGGAAAATTAATGGCGGGTGATCAAGTGACGAACGCTTGAAGGGATTCGGGTTGCCGACGTTGGAGAGAAAGGGTTTCACCTCGTCGGGATTCCACCCACGCTTTTTTCACAGGATAACATCCTCGCGAGGAACCCCACGGGAAACTGGCGGATCGAAGGCCTAGGCTAGGTTAGCGATGAGATTTATCGGGATATAGGTTTGTTTATTTAATCTACATTTGTATCGTATGGAAAGTTATTTTGGAAAATGTAGAAAATGCAATTTTTATCGCTTATCACAAGATAATTTCATCCAAGTCATTTTTACGTTTTAGGTGTCTGTTTTTAATAGTACATTGTTATATAATCTTTATATTTTCTTACAAATGTATCCTAGTATATCATATCATTTTTCTTATTCTACACGAAAATCACAAATGTCATTTTGTAGTTTTATTAATATGAACGCATTATAAAATACAAATTCGTTATTCTTTCAATATTGATTCAAAGAATGTATGAATTTAATAGATATTATAAAACTTGACAAATGTTATTTTCAAAATAAATTCGTGCCTTTAAAATTCTTTCTTTCAATTCCATTTGGAACATTTCAAGAATTCTTCTAAAAACTATATAATAGTATAATACTCGTTATTCAAACGAATTCCTCAGGACCAATAACTAGTCTTCCATCCACCCTCGTAGATCCACCCTGGATTCAAAGGGTTTTTAACCTCCTTACAATCCAGGACACCTCCTATATCCTGATGCCTGCCTGAGCAATGTCACCTGCGGTGTAATTAATATTCATACATACCTCTCATGAATATGACATCCCATAACCGCATCTCATTACAAAGTAACACCGGCCGATGTCGTTGCATCATTATTACACGCCATCTCCCGTTTCTCGGTTGAAACGTTCTACAACCAGAATCGAATAATACATGGTGAAGGGATTTAGGTGGTTGGTTTGTCTCCCCCCCAGACAAATCGCTTCAGTAAACCAGTGCTATCAGGATACCACGAAAGAGCCAGCTGATTATTGGATGACACACAAAAGTGTTAGGGGAACATAAATTCATGTCACGCGGATTTTTCACGGTTTGTTGGTGAATGTTTATGAAGATTAATGAGTGAGTAAAGTGGCGGTCGACGATGGTTCTGGACAATACAAGAGTAAACAAGAGGAACAGGGAAAGATGAAAGGTGAGGAGATCGTTGGGATGGCGAATTGGGGTGCGACACCCCTGGGGCTGGTCGAGGCCAGTTCACTCTCCATCAAGGGGCGGTTCAGAGGATTAATGGATCGTGTCGTTCTGTATCTGGAGTTAGGGGTGGGATTGAATCTGGAATGGATAAATGGTGATCTTTTTGAATTCCTTTGGTATATATGTACGTATGTGAATTGTTTTATCAATAGTTTTGTACAAACTATTTACGAAGAAGAATTATTTTATGGAAAAATGAAAATAATATTGGGAAAAATGCCTTTTAAAAATTGTTTTTGGAAAAGAATAGAATTTTTTAAACTTCAAGAGTATTGAATGTTATTATCTTATCTGGAATTTCTAATTATGATAACACATTATGTTTATAACATTATTAATAATCTGTAATACGTAGTATAATGAAATTTAATTCTTCTTTTATTCATTTCTTCTGCATTATTTTTTAGTACTTGTAACCAAATACTTACATAATAATAATAAATTCATAAAATCAATGGATGTGTAAACAAATTAAATTTCACTATATGATAAAATACGTTTTCATTCTGGATTAATAAATATGTTTATTCAGTGTATTTTATGCATATATAGCATCTAATCTCTTCGTTCGTATCATATTTGTATATTTGTATATTTAACGATGTACAAATTATGTACAGTCTAAAGTAAGTAACGTAAATAGAATTTTTATTAAATCTTTTCATATAATTTATCTGATTGATTACAACTACTCATTCGAAAATAATAAAAAACAAGATCAAGATACTTGGAAACGATATAAATTGAATAATATAAATTAATTCGTAAAATATATATTTTATAACCGATAGATCTGTTAATAATCGCTTCAGTATAGCAGAGAAAGTGATTCTCTCGAATAACCGACTTTCCGCAATCAGTTACGAAATCATTTTACGCTTTCTCTAATTAAATCCAATATTTACGAGTATATAATGACAAAACTGACACAAATTGATACGCAAATACGAAACAAACAGATAGAACGAACGAAAGTAAAAATATGACAAAACACTTGTGATCAATGATTACGTCAAATCCAATTAAAAACTACTAAAAATATACGAGCTCCGTATATTGGCATTTCATTGGACATTGGCTATCGCATACTCGCCAGCACAACGGATTACCAATGGAAATATCAAGGAAAAAATCGATTCGCAACAACAACAAACGAGGGAGAAAGGAATTTGAAAGTGGTAAAAACACGATCCATTCGCAACACGGTTTCAGACAGCCCACCAGACCTCGTCCGCAACCGGCCGAGTTTAGGGTTAAGAAGGTGCACCTACACACCGTCTTCTGGGCGTACATCAGCGACGCCACGCAGATACACCTAACGCCTGGGCGTTTCCGTCTTGGAGCTGCCTTCCCATCCAGGAGTAACCGGCGTCTCCACGTGCCACGACGCCTCGATCCATCTCTGCAACCAGCTTCTGTGCAACCTTCCCAGCCCGTGAGCGTGCCCACCTGGAATCTGATCTCTCGCCGTGGATGATCGGCACAATTTGTATCGAGTGCTGGTCGCCACGAGGTCGCGATTCCGCACCGCCTCTTCATGTCATGGTTCCGCCCCGCGAGTTTGACGGCCTGCCCTCCGCGGGAGCCGCCCCCGCTCTTTGAACAGGAACACAGAAACGCCGAGGAACCGACCCCGCGTTTCTGCCGGCTCGAACCCGATGAACTTGGCCTTGGCGCCGGCCACGGCCGTGGATGGGGGGACGTGTACATGTGAGATTTTAGTCGAGTGTTGTGTGGCTGTTGGGTGTCGTGTTTCGACCATTTAGCGGGTTAATGCGTGTTGGTGAGTTGGGTATACGTGTTCGTAGGCGAGTTGCGGCTTGAGAGTGAAACGTTGTTGATGGATCAAAGACCACGATCAATTGTGTAATTTAGCGGGCGATGGAACGTTTGTTTGGCTATCTTTGGTTTGGAAAAAGTTGAGTTTGGGCTCGAATAATAGTGTTTAATTTCTTTTTTGCTTTACGGAGAAAAATTTTCTTATGGAGATTATAAAAGTAACTTTTATTTATATATTTTTACACAGTGTGTTGCGGAAGTTTGAGAGTTTTTTTTGTAGTCTATGATTTATTGTATTTAAGTACAAAAAGTCAACACATTTCTATCGATTGTGAATTATTTTCTTAATATCTTCAAAGTGAAGTTTCAAAAATTCCTTTGAATTAAGAATCGCATTCCATAATGTTTTTTAAAAATATTATCTATCCTTCGATTTTTATTCTAATTCTACGTTCAAATTTTCTTTTCCATTTTTTTTTTAAATTTGCAGAAACAAATATAGTTAATTGAAAAATGTGGTCGCGTGAATCTACAAAGCCTGTCAATTGTCTCGCGATTGGCTTTGAGACTGTATCTAAATCAACCCTTCAGGCGGGTCTGGTAGGCCGGCAAATCGACACTGTGGCATGCGTAAACACAGGCTCCGAAG